AGGATTAATTGTACCGGGGTGCCACAAGGTAGCATCTTAGGGCCCCTTTTATTTCTTATTTACGTCAATGACCTTCCACGTGCACTCACACATGATTGTGTCTTATTTGCAGACGACACGACTATCATTATGGGCTGTAAAAATATAGATACCTATGAGACGGAAATATATAAAACGTTAGAAGATGTTATCCAATGGTTAAACATAAACAAATTGAAAATAAACATTGATAAAACGAAACTAATTAACTTCAAAACTTATAAGAGTAAAAACATGGAATTAAATATTAGTTACAACAATTCAGTTATACAACAGATAAACACCGCTAAATTCTTAGGCATTATTCTCGATACACATCTCTCATGGAAAGAACATATTAATAAATTATGCATAAAAATAAATAAGTTTGTTTTTGCACTTCGAAAGGTAAAAGACGTGACAAGCAGACATACCTCTATTATGGTATATCACGCTTACATTTGCTCCATTATACGATATGGCATAGTTGTCTGGGGAAATTCCTGTGACATCACGAGGGTGTTTATAGCACAGAAAAAATGCATTCGGACTCTGTACGGCATGGATTGGTCGGAATCGTGTAAACCGACCTTTAAATCAAATAATCTACTAACTGTTCCCTGCATATACATCTACGAAACAGCTAAATTTGTTAAATACAACAGTCATCTCTTCACCGCTAACGACAATACATTTAAACGAAAAATTAACCACGTGCCCTTAAAAATGCCTGTGCCTAAGCTAGAACTGTTTAAAAAAAACTGTGCTTATATGGCACCTCTAATATATAACTCTTTGCCCAAAGGAATGATTGACCTGCCATATAAAAGGTTCTGTTGTGCCTTGCGAAAATGGTTGATCCAGGAGAGTTTCTATACTATTAAAGATTTTTTGAATAAAAGTACTTGCCGTTTTGGTGCCCACTAAGATATCAGATCTTTCTTTTTATTTCCTGTAACTTAGTCTATTATAATAATTCAATAATTTATGTAACTGTAATCATGTAATTCAAATAATTGAAATTTAAAAGATTGTAATAATTGTAATTCAAATAGTTCTTATAAATTGTTATTCAAATAGTTCTAATAATTGTAATTGTATTCAAATAATTGTTGTAAATTTACCATGATTTTGCATGCCCGTAATGAGGGTGAAATATGTCCTGTGCTATAATTAATTTATCATCTTGTGTAACAACCATATTTCTTGCAAATAAATGATTTATTATTATTATTATTATTATTAAACATTTCGACAGCACTATCGGCTTCAACACCCTCGAAACCCATGAAAATGACACCCATGATGAAAAAATTGGTACCTTTTGCAGCCGCCACCTTGGATTTACATTTCGACAGCACTATCAGCTTCAACACCCTTGAAACCCATGAAAATGACACTCATGATGAAAAAATTGGTACCTAATTTAGCCGCCATCTTGGATTTACATTCGCACTATCGGCTTCAACACCCTCGAAAACCATGAAAATGACACCCCTGATGAAAAAATTTATACCTATTGCAGCCGCCACCTTGGATTTACATTTCGACAGCACTATCGGCTTCAACACCCTCGAAAACCATGAAAATGACACCCATGATGAAAAAATTTATACCTACTTCAGCCGCCATCGTGGATTTACATTTCGACAGCACTATCGGCTTCAACACCCTCGAAACCCATGAAAATGACACCCATGATGAAAAAATTGGTACCTATTGCAGCCGCCACCTTGGATTTACATTTCGACAGCACTATCGGCTTCAACACCCACGAAAACCATGAGATTGACACCCATGATGGAAAAATTGATATCTATTGCAGCCGCCATCTTGGATTTACATTTCGACTACCTTATCGGCTTCAACTCTCTCGAAAACCATGAAAATGACACCCAAGATGAAAAAATTGATACCCATTGCAGCCGCCACCTTAGATTTACATTTCGACAGCACTATCGGCTTCAACACCAGCGAAAACCATGAGAATGACACCCATGATGAAAAAATTGATACCTGTTGCAGCCGCCATCTTGGATTTAATTTCGACAGCACTATCGGCTTCAACACCCTCGAAAACCATGAAAATGACACCCAAGATGAAAAAATTGATATCTATTGCAGCCGCCATCTTCGATTTACATTTCGACAGCACTATCGGCTTCAACACCCTCGAAAACCATGAAAATGACACCCATGATGAAAAAATTGGTACCTAATTTAGCCGCCATCTTGGATTTACATTCGCACTATCGGCTTCAACACCCTCGAAAACCATGAAAATGACACCCATGATGAAAAAATTTATACCTATTGCAGCCGCTACCTTGGATTTACATTTCGACAACCCTATCGGTTTTAACACCCTCGAAAACCATAGAAATGTCACCCATGACAAAAAAATTGATACTACCTTACTTTTAGTACGTACTACTATTATTTATTCTGTGCTTTTAAAATATTGTAATAAAAAAATCTCTTATTATTTTTATAACCAAGTATTTAAGAAATTTGGTTATTCGAATATTGTGTATTTGTACAGCCATCTTTTTGAATCGCTGCAAACAACCGAAACAATGTCCACTCACGACGGCGACTGAGGCCACAGAGTACATTTTATAAACTGGAAACTGAGGCCGAACTTAGTTAGTGAGTATACTACTCTGTGGCTGTAGCTCCCCATTTATAGAAATAATTTACATACAAGGCTACCAAATCAACGAAAATTTCCCAATTTTGGAGCCGAAAAAAATTAATTATAGCTAAACAAAACAAAATTACACTGCCATTTACATTCAGTGGCTTCCCACATGATAGATGAAGAGATTAAAAAATAGATTGAGTTAAACAATTGATATTTTCGAAAGTTAACGTGTTTACAACCCTTGGAGACATGATAAATCCACACCATAAGCCACTAAAACCCCTTTTTTATTTAAAAATAGCAATTAATCGATTTAAAAAACATATTAATAAGTCCAACAGTCATTTATCTTTCTAACAATGTGCTTTTTATATTATTTATATGTATAATATGATTGCTGGATACGATTTCATGCGACAAAATGTTGGAATCTTGATTTTTAGGCGCTAGTAGAACATACCCACGCTTTGCGCTCGGCATGCAATAAAACGTATAATATTCTATTTTTTTTTATAGGATAAGGGTGATAAATGAGCATACAGTCCACCTGATGGTAAGTGGTCGCTGCGGCCCATAGATATCTACATCTATCCTCTATTACAAATCAAAATGTAGATGCTTTGTCACCCGTGAGGATGACAAAGCATCTACATTGAAAAAGATGATGAAATGCCTCATTTCCAGTAAAAAGGGCTTCCGGCCACCTGCACTCACCAAGCGAAATGCAGAGGTAAACCTCTACTTCACGCTGGTTTTCTGTGAGGTCGTGGTACCACCCCGGTTCGAGCCGGCCCATCCGTGCGACAGCAAAAGCTGCCGCGTGGCTCTACCACTGTAGAAAACATTGTTTACATTCTCCCGTTTTTGGAGTCTGCTAAAAACTATTTCGACGGATTTTGTCACGTTTATTTAAACCCTAGATGGAGTGACGGCCTAGTAAAACACGCAGGAAGTGGATGGATGCCGGTGGCTCAGGACCGTGTTTTGTTTCATAAGTACCTCAGGGAAGGTCTATGTTCAAAAGTGGACTTGTGAAGATTTGTAATGATGATGATAATAATGATTATGATGATTTAAAGCAAATAAATAAAAATAAATTTATTGTTATTTTCTAAAAAATATAATTAACAAATTTTGCTACGTTGCGTTGCTGCTATCTATTATTTCATATCAAGACTACGATGTGACGTTTCCCTTTGAACCACATACACATTTCCAAATAGTTCTACCATAAGTCGCTAGATGTCACTAACATATATAACATGTATAATATTTACTTGTGTTGCAAAGTTATCCTTAATCCTTATTATATAAATGTTATTAATTCCCAAAACTCTTGTTCTAAACAACAAAAGTTTATATTATTTAATTTTATATTAGTTTTGAAGTAATTGTTGAAAAAATTACTGGCCTCGTCTTTTAGGAATTAAAAAATTGACATGATAGAGGTAAGTATTAAACTGTGAAACTGACAAACAAGTTTTTACTTAGTCGTAAAAAATCCATCACGTCTCGTATTATACCGTGTGTGTAGTTTTACAAAATAAGAGAGCAAGGAATATTTCGGAGACTTCGATAGATGGCGTTATATTATACCAAAACGAATAATTCATATTATCTAGTCGATTGGGTATCAACCTGACAGCCGATACCTGCAACTTAGGACCCGTATTTGATTTTGGGTCGCCTTCTTCTCGGAATGAAATTGCAATAGCAGGTGTTACACGGCAGGTGCGATGTCACAACAGTACTATGAGGAACAGCGTCAAAGGTGCGAGACATCTTTTGTACTGCGATCTGCGATCCGGTTGCCAAGTATGGCAATCAAGACAAATCCTCCCTGCTCCTGTTCAATGTCCAACTACTTTGAGAGCTAATAAAGAAGAAAGAGATTATTAGTTAATAGGTTATTCTATAAAAAGTGCAGATTTACAAAGGGAAACAGGGCGTTGAAAGGAAAGCGCGAATAGTTTTAAATTGATGCGTATGTACGCACACTCTCATAGAATAGGTACCAGTGTGAAATAGCAGTTTAGTAGGTACTGCTGTGTTCCGTATGGTGAGTGTAAAAAACGTGAGACCCTTTTTACTGTAAATGAGGCATTCCCTCTTAGACCTCAAGGGGTGATTACGCATCTCCATTTTGATTATTAATCGAGGATAGATGTAGGAGATGTCTATGGACCACAAAAGACATTTACTATCAGGTAGAATGTGTGGTCGTTTGTCACGCTTATTTTGTAAAAAAAATGCGAAGTAAAGTCGGGGACAGGTACTGGAAAGCTGGCTTTTGTACTTTATATGTAAAAAAAAGTCAACGTAAATAATAAGCAATTTATATTCACCAAGAATTTATTAGGTAATAATCACTTTTTTAGTCTATAAATGAACTAATACTATTAATGCTTATTAATTAATAAGTATCACAGATAATGAAATCTAGGTCTAAAATTAATCTAAGTACCATAGGGAAAGTTCGGGTAGCTCCGAACGGCAGGTAACCGGAATTGAGATAAGGTATATTTCCATCCGAATTAATGATTCATTTTTTAATTGAAAGCTGGTACTTCTCATGTGGTCCCATATAAATTTGATCAAGATCTGTAATGCGTATTTAATTGATTTCGGCTACATTGATGATGTTCTCATTTTATTTATATTGAAGTCGGTTGTACAAACTTTTTAATTTTGCCACTTATTAATGTACGTTCTCTAAAGTAGCAAGTCCAAAGGTTAAAATAGTTATTAAAAAATCCGACTGTGTAAAAAAGTTTACTGAAAAGAGAAAAGTTTCCTATATCACTTCTACAAATATGTAGGACGAATCACAACCCATATGTATATATACTTAATGAGGTGATACGATATTATTAGATGATAAGATTCATCAAGCATTTAGGCTGCAGAACATTCCAAAAAAGACATACATTCATACGGACATGCTCTCGAAAAACATTACCCTCTTCTAAAAGACACACAATCGGATAAAAACAAGTGCCACTCAGCGGTGGCGCATACCGAGTGAAATAAACGCAAAAGAGTGTGTTTTAAAAAATACAAGCTATCCGCCCAGGCTTTGCACGGGTGATATCTGTATCTCGACAACTGCCACCTACCGGGTCTACTTGTGAATCTGAACCATTCTCGAATCATCTTAATCACACTCACAAAATTTCATTAAAATCGGTCCAGCCGTTTAGGAGGAGTTCAGTCACACACACACACACACATACGGACTGAAGAATCATGTACCTACATATATAATGCATGTTTTATATATATAAATCTTTCTCTTGAACCATATTCTCTATTGATGAAAACCCTATCAAAATCCGTTGCGTAGTTTAAAATATCTAAACGTACCTACAGACGGCGGAAAGCGACTTTGTTTTGTACTATGTAGAGAAAAAAGGATAGAAAATTTGTTAATTGTATTGTTATTTTGCAATTTATTTAATAGGTGTCCGGGGATACCAGACCTTCTCCTACTATAGACTATTTGACTTATATTAAACATAACAAATACAATTTATAATCAAATCAAATTTTAAGTCGGTGGATACATTCAAATATTATCTGGTGTTCGACAGAAAATCTGGTATGATCTTGTAAAGACACATTTGAACAGCATTGTATGCATTTTTTGTAGAGCAAATGACGTGCGCCTCTAGAACATGGATATTGATATTTCACTGAAGCCATTGTAATTAATTAAAAAATATACTATTTTATTGATATTTGGTTTCATATTTATCTCAGCCTGCTATCGTATAGAATAGAATAGAATAGAATGATTTTTATTCAATATGGATTATTACATAATACTTATTGAAAGTCATTATTTTATTTACCACTGGTTCGGAAAATACCTCTGTCCTGGGTAGAACTAGCAAGAAACCCAGCGGGACTTTTTTTTAAACATAATTTCACTTAACAATAATTTTGTTTATACTATTTTAAATGAATTTTCATAGAACCAGCATGGTGGCGATCACCTTATTCCCAGGGGTTATTTTCATTCACGTATTCCTTGATATTATAATAACACTTTTTGTACAGTTTTTCTTTCGTAAAACTTTTAAACTTGTTTATTGACAAACTTTGAACATGTTCTGGGATTTTGTTGTAAAAGCGTATACATTGCCCCATAAATGAATTACTAATTCTGTGGAGTGTAGTAACTGGCATTACAAGCTTATATTTGTTCCTAGTGTTTAAGGTATGAACATCCTTATTCTTATTAAAACTATTTTTTAAGTTTTTATGTACATACATTACATTTTCATAAATATATTGCGATGCCAAAGTTAATATGTTTATTTCTTTAAATTTTTCTCCGAGGGACTCTTTACAATTTAGATTATAAATCGCTCGTACGGCTCTCTTTTGCAAAACAAATATAGCTTCAATATCAGTCGCATTACCCCATAGCAAAATTCCATAAGACATTACGCTATGAAAGTAACTAAAATACACTAACCTAGCTGTCTCAACATCTGTGAGACTTCTAATCTTTCTTACAGCATATGCTGCAAAACTAAGTCTGCTTGCTAATTTATATATATGGGGGTGCCATTGATGTTTCGCGTCAATAGTAATAGCAAGAAAAACAGTGGTATCCACAAGACTCAACTTTTCGTTTTCGAATGTTTTACATTAGGTATTGTAAATTTAATACATTTTGTCTTATTGCCGTTTAAGAGCAAGTTGTTGGCGTTAAACCAATGTACTAGTTTCGATAGAGCATTATCTACATCGTCATATTTAATTGACTGCCGTTTCAGTTTGAAAATTAAAGAGGTATCGTCAGCAAATAATACTATATCGTGATTGTCCCCTACAAGATAAGGTAAGTCATTAATATAGATTAAGAACAGGAATGGGCCAAGAATCGAGCCCTGAGGAACGCCCATTGATACTACCGATCCGGAGGAACATTTACCATTGATGACGACTTTTTGAGTTCTGTTACTTAAATATGAAGTAATAAGCCTAAGCGCCAATTTTTTTACACCGTAATGTTGTAGGTTCCTGATTAATTTCTCATGATGTACACAATCGAAAGCCTTGGAAAGGTCACAGAAAATACCTAAGGCATATTGTGAATTCTCCCAGGCATTAAAAATATATTTCATAAGCTCAACACCAGCGTCAGACGTCGAGCGACCCCTTGTAAAACCAAATTGATTTTTATGAAGTAATTTATTTGTATTAAAAAAATTAACAATTGATCCAAACTAATTTTTTCAAAAATTTTACTGGGTTTTTGGTAGTACAGAAATAGGTCTATAATTAGCGGGGTCCAATGTACTACCAGATTTAAATAAAGGTATTACTTTACTATACTTCATTAAATCAGGAAACACACCAGAATAGATACAAGTATTAACAATAATAGCAAGATGAGGTGCAAATAAATCTATTATAGACGCAATCACCGTAACGGAAATCCCCCACAAATCTGCGGTTTTCTTTACATCAATGGTTTTGAAGTATTTTACAATATTATGCGGTAATACTTTTTCAAATCTAAATTCTTTTAAACAGGTATTAACATACTGTTTAAGTAATGATTCGGCGACAGTTGGAGAAGCATTCAATGACTCAGTTGTCAAGATAGGAACATCAGTGAAATATTTCTCAAACACCGCTGCAACTTCTTGATTTGATTTAGTCAATTCATTATTAATTTTTAATTGATAGTTTGAGTTACGAGGTTTCTCTTTACCGATTTCGCTGTTAATTATACTCCACGTCATTTTAATTTTATTCTTAGCCGTCTTAATTTTGTTACTAATATGTAATGATTTGGCTGTGGAGCAAACTCTTTTAAACATTTTAGAATAATTTTTTACATATTCTTTAAAAGCATCGGAAAGATTATACGATCTTTCATGGTAAAGGTCATATAACCTTCGTCTGCTTTTATGAATTCCTACTGTCGCCCACTCATTAAATGCCTTGCGACTGTTTCTGGAGAATGTTTTAGAAGTGAATGTTTTATTAAATTCATTGTTTATAAGGGTAAATAATTCTCTATATAAATAATCTGCACTGTTCTTATAAGAAAGGGATGGAAGATTTTTTACCATATTACTTCTAAATCTCTCCAGGCGTTTTGCATTAATAGGAACAAACACAATTTTCTCAATTACCTGTTTTTTGTGCATATAAGGTAACGAAACCAGTTATCCACAGTGATCTGAACTAAGTTTTTGAATTATTGATTTGTTGATTGGTACAACACCTGTAAAAATATTATCAATACAAGTTGCACTACACCCTGCAATACGTGTAGCTTCAAATAATAAATTATTAAGATTATAGGATTTGAACAAAGAACAATATTTAATACTGATGGAAGAAGTTTCCAGGAGATTGATATTAAAGTCTCCACACACTACAAGAGATTTATTCTGTTTATTAAGCTTAACTAAAACTTCTTCCATAATTTTTTCAAAAGTATCATAACTTGAACATGGGGGTCTGTAAACACTGACAACAATAAGGTGCTCAAGCTCAACACATGCCATTTCTACAGTACGCTCAACAAAGAGGCTCACAATGTCTTTACGTTCTTTACATGATAAGGACTTATTAGCTAATATTAAGGAGCCACCTCGTAATTTAGTATCTCTATTGAACAAACTGACCACCTGGTGATTACTGATATTAAATATGGAGTTGTAATCTTTCAACCAATGTTCTGTAATACATAAAATATGTATACTGTTACTATTTAAAAATAATTCAATTTCTAATTCTTTGCCTAACATACCTTGTATATTTTGATGCACCAGGTTGATACAGTTTTTATTATTGTTATTATGTGAAATTGCATAATTTTGTATTGGTAAGTTGCATTCGAAGCTATTTAAATTATCTTTGCTAGAGATTACCTCTATTGTCTTATTATCTAATTTAAATTACTTGGAACTGGTTCCAAATCAAATGTAAAATTATTTTGTTGCTCAAAAGAAGCAGGTGTCAAGGTAGCCAAATCATTGGCTGAGTTAAAATATAAATAATAAGATAGCATATTTGCTACCAGTCTTAAACTTTTCTTTTACTTTGATAGGTAATACCTATCTCTTGTCAAAAACTTCTTAGTTAAACTATTAATATCAATCAAATGAAATTTATCATTATTATTCTTACAATTAAATGTCAAATTTAAGTTATTGTTACATGTCAAGTTATGCATCATTAAATTTAAATTATGTCTTAGTTTATTTTCCTGTGGCCACCCCTCTATGTAAGGCAATGTAAACAAGATAACTTTAACCACATTTATGTTATTGAGATATTCAATATATTTTAATAATTGATTCTTATTCATATTGCCTCTTATGCTCTATAATATGTATACATATACAGCATAGAATTATACCCCAACAAAGACACTACAAGATGAGATTATTGAAATTTTTTGGCCCTTGATCCAAAACTCAATAAGTGTTTACTTCTTGTACTGAAATCTAAGATCTATGTGGATGATGATCATTGGCAATATTTCTCTCTCTCAGTTGTCGTGTCTGAAAGAAAGCTGCAAAATTATCTCAGCATGGCGTAGTATTATTGAATCCACCACGTGAACAGATCCAGTGGATTAAACACTCTTAGCTCCGGTTCCTTCTTCTCCACAGGAGATTTGTACAAGAACATGCCTCGGGTATTCGTGTTGCAGGAGTACCCGACCACAGTTTCATTCCCACTACACTGTCCGCTGTTCAGTTCCTCCCAACTCTTACAACGCCGCCCAACCAACACGTGGTCATCAATCACGGAGGCGGCAAACAAACGCCAGGCTTGTGCGTGGTCGCATTGCAAAGAGATACTTCTGTCTTGACACTCAGGCTGCTTTGTTAACACCCCATTGGCATACACGTCTACATGACCTAAGGGTTGCTCCAGACCTAACACCCCAGCATTGGTGTGAATTACTAGAACAAACTTAGCATCACTTTTTTCGAGTCTATACTCCGACTGGCGGGAAAAACATGGTCGTGCTGGATCAAGAGCAGTAATCTTATCTAATTTCCGATGCAGATGTTTTTGGACTAACTTCCCTGTTATCGCCACTACGTGAGCCCCTAAACTAAAACCTATCAAGTGTACTGATGATAGTGGAAGCCCATCGTTGGTCATATTCTTAATAAACTTGTACAAACGGAGAGCTAGACCATTGACGCCGGCTGTGGAAGCAACGTAACCTTTGCAGAAGATAAGTCTCGTATCCAGGACTAAGACAGACGGGTTCTTGTTAAGTAGAGCTTTGACCAAGGTCTTGGAGGACTCGTCGGTTGGTGTATTCCACCAGCCGGGGACATAGATGACTAGCGTCTGAGGCAGACGGTCTCTCAGATGCAAATGAGCCTTGGATAGACTGAAGCTCTTGCGTTTATGTCGTCGAAACTCTACTACGTCGATGTCCGGACCGTATACTTTCGAGAATAATACGTCGAGCGGTAGAACCTCACCTGAAATGACAGAAATTTCCTCCTGTATATAATAGTCCCTTTTATTAGCCTTGTACGTATTAATTTTATTAAAGATGTATAAAACAGTGTATTATGGATGATGGCTTTTTTATAGGATAGGGTGACAAACGAGCACACAGTCCACCTGATGATAAGTGGTTGCTGTGACCCATAGACATCTACATCTATCCTCGTTTGCAAATCAAAATGCAGATGCGATGTCACCCGTGACGACTAAGATGGAATGTCTCTTTTCCAGTAAAATGGGTCTCCGGTTCTCTACACTCACCATACGAAACACAGCAGCGTTAAGCTGCCATTTTACGCTGGTATTCTGTGAGAGCTTGGTCTTTCCCCGGTCGAGCCGACCCATTCGTGCTACAACTATACTTCTAATATAGCTGCAGCATGGCTCTACTACGTATGAAAGGTGTGTCATTCCTGGTATAGTGGTGTTGGGAATAGTGATGATAGGATTAGTGAGAAGCTCTACAATTATTGCTAATAAATTTTTAACTTATTATCTATAATGGATTTCCACAAAATAACGCCTGATATAATTAATGATGCAAAATCCCCCCTATGAGGCAATCTTTGGGGGATATGGCCTACGTTCAGTAGAGGACTTGGATAGGCTGTAATGGTGATGCTACTTCACTTATAACACAAGCCTTTCTAAGGTATATAGATAATAATACAGTACCAAATATAGACAATAGCCACAACTTTAACCAAACCATCAAAATTTGGAACCGAAACCAAGAATAAGTAGGATAGTTTTTAGCTGGGTTTCAAAACGGAATCCGATTCGTAGTAGCCAGGTACTCTTAACATTAAGTCATTGGGTTTTTCAACGCCTTTTGCGTACGGTATAGCAATAATTTTGTAGATAATTTTGAGGCTTTGGTGATCCTTCCGTGTACGCTACGTTCTCTACGCTATAATAAAAATAATTATAATTCTAAATAATGTCTCATGTTAAACACAGTCAATAGCCTTTGAAAGGTCACAAAATATTCTTAAAACATCTTTTGAGTTGTGCGTTGCATAGAAAATATGTTTAATCAGCTCATTACATTAAAAAAAAACTTTAAGCTCTAGAATATTTTATTCAAAATTTTCAATAAGGGTTGGCAGTACCGAATAGGTTCAAAATTACTGGCTCCAAATGGAATATACTACCAAATTTAAATAAATGTGTTACTTCACAATGACTTATTAAATCAGGAAACACACCAGATACAATACTAGTATTAAAAACTATAGCAAGTTGGGGTGCGATTGCATCTAATAAAGGCTCAATAAATTATAACGGAGATCCATATCATCATAAAATCGCGGTTTTCTTATAAATATAAATAGTTTTTAAATATTTTACAATATCTTCTGGTAATTATTCATGATCAAATTATTTCGTATAGATATTAACATTCTGTTTCAGAAATAACTCGCCAACGGTAGGAAAAGAATTCAGTGACTTTGTAGATAGGATCGGAATGTTCTCTAAAGCCGTTGCAATATCTTGATTCGATTTCCTACCGACTTCAGAAAGGAGCCGGTACTCAATTCGACTCGACTCACTTCGATTATGTGTGTTACCTCATAACTTTTTAACGATAGCTCTATGTCTGTCAATCAAATAATAAAGGGTCAAAAGGGCGCACCTTTATCGACGCCATTTTGACAGTTGAGAATATAGTAATAATTTTAGTCGATTTTAATATTGCGTAGTGCAATTAGTTTTTTATAAGTTGTTTTTAAGGTGTTCCTAATTATTGGCAAAGGTTGTTTGCTATTTTGTCTCTATTTGTCTCTGTCCTCCTCCTTGTTTTGGTTTTATACGGCGGCAAAGCTTTAAGGTGACTCATTTTAAAGAAAATTGATTGTAGTTTTACAGAAATTTGCCATACATGGAAATAAACTAAAAATATACCTCTGGATCATTATTTTGGCCATAGTTAGGCCAGTTTGTGGGTAGGATCATTTCTGCATCCACGACCTAATTGTTCCAGGTCTATATACAGGTATATTTGTCCACGAAATATCTCCACGATTCAGAAGTTATTCCTAGAGTTACAGTCTAGTTTGTTTAGCGACCATAGATGCATCTGCTGACGATGAAGTCCGTGTTCGGGCCAAAATAAACAGTTATTGAGATTTTCTGTCAAGAAATTTCCAGTAGCAGTCCAGAGACAGGAAGTTGGCGGTGTCTCACATCCCTGCCTCGGTTTGCCGTCCCATCGGACTATCAGAGTGAGGGAATAGGGCGTGCACCTGTGCATGCGCATACACTCGGGCACTATAATCCTGGCCCGCGCAGATGGCTAGTCGCCGTTGACACTGGTCGGTTTGGAGGACATTATTCATAGATCGCTAGCTAAAAAATATTGTCCAACATTTAGATTAGACAATATTTTGACACAGCGCTTTGGTCGTTCAAGAATGTGCTTATTTCATATAATGGAAACAATTTTATGCTCAATACGTGATGCCAGCATAAATTTCTTATCATTTAATCTATTTGTTATATTAGCGCCACGAAAGATATTCAAATCAAGAAGCGATTAAACATGAATTTAATATAAATTATATCGTCAACTTGCTGAGGCACGAATAGGTCGGCTCGACCGAGGAAGGATCACGCTCGCTCGAAATACCGACATGAAAGCAGCTTAATGTTTCGTATGGTGAGTGTAGAGATACAAATACTTTATTATAGAACTAGCGACACGCCCCGGCTTCGCCTGGATAGTGTTGATGTGGCATAATTTAGATTTAGTATAATCAAAGACTATTCAATTTATCAATTTTTGTTTTTTCTAAAAAAAAGTTTCAAGTTTTTTGGATAAAAGCCTAAATCCCTCCTGGCTCTCTATTTTTTCGTAAAGTTTCATAACACTCGGTTCAACCCTTCCGTACATTAGCTCGGACAGATAGACATATAGACAAACAGACATACAAACACAAATTAAAAAAAATGTTATTTATGTGTTAATGGCGTTCAAATAACCCCCTGAGCTTAACAGAAGTCAGTTATGTCAGTATTAACGACAGTCATTTCCATTTCATTTATAGATATAGATAAAAATGATAAACGAGCACACAGTCCACCATAGCAAGTGGATGCTGTGGCCCATGGTACGTCGTCACTTGTCATGTCTTGCCAGGGAATGCTTTGTTAACGGTTAAACGTTATATACACAGTGGAGCCACACTGAGGCTATGTTATGGTTGTAACACGAAAGGGTCGGCCCGACCGGGCGAATTGAGACGTATGTATGGACGCTCACACAGAATACCAGCGTAAAATAGCAGCTTAACGCTGCTGTCTTTCGTATGGTGAGTGTAGAGAACCGGAGACCCTTTTCACTGGAAACGAAACATTCCATTTTAGTTCTCAGGAGTGGCAATGCGTCTCCATTTTAATTCTTAGTATAGGATAAATGTAGATGTCTATGGGCCACAGTATCTACTTACCATCAAGTCGACTATGTGCTCGTTTGTCACTCTTATTTATACAAATAAATAAAATTGAAATATCTGTTTGTAATGTTAAAATAACAGCTTTTTACTAAATGCATATGAAAACATATACGTTACTTATAACAAAAACACAATTTTTAAAAATTTTGTCTGTCTATCTGTCGGTCTGTTTGTCTGTCTGTTTGTTCCGGCTAATCTCCGAAGCGGCTGGACCGATTTCGACGGGACTTCCCCCGTTGGATAGCTGATGTTCTAAGGAGTAACTTAGGCTACTTATATTTGAGAAAAAGAAGAGTTCTGAACAATATAATTAAAACCATAAATTACACGCGGGCGAAGTCGCGGGGAGAAGCTAGTTGTATATAAAAACACACGATTACAAGCTATTACTTTGACAAAGAAGTCACGCTGGGTTTCTTGTTGTTTCTTCCTGAGACAGTAGTTTCTTTCGAACCAGTGGTAAAAGATAACTACACTTACTACTTACTATAACTATTTCTTTGTGAACTATTTGGAATAATAACACCTGGTAAACTTAAAAGTTTTGTATAACCGACTTTAATATAAATAAAATGAGAACAACATCAATATGTATATATATGGGACCACATGGGAAACACCAGCTATCAAATAAAAAAAAAAGAATCATCAAAATCGGTTTACCTCGAAAAAAGTTCTGAGGTACGCATAATAATACAGTCGAATAGAGAACCTCCTCCTTTTTGAAGTCGGTTAAAATTATTCTATTTCAATCTGTTATACGATCCAGTGGACACTATTTATCTTTCTCTTAGGTGGTGGTTTCCACTTTAAAATTGGACAGGTCAGCACTTTATTGCGTATCATTTCGTAAGTCCAGAGTTTTCCTTGCAAAAAATTTTATTATATAATTCTTCTGCACGTGTGTTGGTGACTGAACTCTTCCTAAACGGCTGGACCGATTTTGATGACATTTTTTGTGTGTATGTGTATGGACCCGGTAGGTGGCGCTCTTGTTGAGATCCAAAAGTCACCCGTGCGAAGACGGGGTGAATCGCTGGTTATGTATGGTTTTCTTAATATTGATACTAACACTGACAAGTTGTCAATAAAATATTCTTGGAATAGCTCTGTTATTCCATGTGCAAGAGTGTAGTAAATTTTTTCGAATAGGCTCGCTATTCTTACAATTGCAAACGCAACAATTTACTTTCGTATGATTTAATCCACCCTTGATATATATTAAAAAGTATTAAGCTGACGACCGTGTAGTGACGGTTTAACACTACCCCATATCATCCCGTGGCTGTCGAAAGAGGCGACAGAAGGAAACAAATCAGGCAATAGGCAACAGTGTCTTCCTAATAACGACTAAAAATAAAAACTGGGGTTGCCAACACGCTTACCAAACGTGATAACTATGGCAAATATCACTCCTATAAGTTAATCTATGAGGATGTGTAAAGCAGTAACGGTAGCGTTAAATAGTGATTTATTCTAAGAATAAAATTTACTTTGGTTGGTCTAATTCAACCTAAGAATATGTTAAAGAAATATTAAATTGAGACTTAATGATAACAAAAAAACTTCCTTGAAAGAATAGTGTGCATAAACAAAGATATTTAAATAATTTTAATGTCTTTGTTTAGGCACCTTATTACAGGCGTTACTTTGCGGAAATCCATTATAATGGGGTTGTTATCAACTAATTTGCTTAATTCCGCGTAAAGAAAGAAAATCATGTGTCATACCCAGCTCGCACCCTCCCTCAATCGCGCGCACTATACCCGTCGCCGTCAATCCCAGCTCTACCACCCCCAGCACCACCACATAAGGCACGACACACTACTCTCGAAAATACGACACGTGTTTCGCATCTACACGAGGCATCCTCAAGTGAAGTAGACTCTGCGGAGGCTGACCGGTAAATTTACCGGTAACAGTCCAAAGAAATCAAATGCATTACTTAGCTGTATTAACCTAGAGTAGTGAATAAACAAATTTATCGTAAAAAATATAATTACGTTCCTGCTTGCTATATAAGTCAAAATGACGGGAAGTAAATAGTGTTAAATACTACTAGTAACTATGTACTAATAACTGTTTCATTAAGTAAAAAAAAATAATAACTAACTTGAACCACAAACCTGGTTTTTTAATCAGAAGCAATTGATATAATCAGGCTTTAATTTGCGGTAGACGCGAATTTTAGCTAATTAATTTTTAAAATTGAAGATATTAAAAATTAATTATGTAGGTAAAATCCTAGTAATGATTAGTCTTTAGTTATATTAACAACAATTAATTTGTAACATATTTAATCAATCAGAAGCACTTCAAAAATAATCACGTACAGGAATCGGAAGCGGCGCGGACCAGTTCCTCGAGGTTGCCGGTGATCCAGGGCGGCAGGAGCTGGCCGATATCGGCTAGCGTGTCTCCCTGTACCGTCACTAGATGCAGAACCGCTGTGCAGATGAAGGCAGCCGCCGTGGACCGACGCATCGCCGGCACTGTGCCGCTACAACCAACACCCTTGATCTTCACGCCTAGCGCACTTATGTTCGTAAACACGTTTACGTCAGCTGATGTAACCATACGTCGCGCTCATAATATATTGATGCGGTAGGAAGTTATCTTTTATTAGTGTTATATTATAAATTGATTGTTGGCTTTGAAATTTTATATTTTCTTAAGTAATAAGAAGAAATAAAAATTACTACATTTTTGCAACTTTTAGATGGATATTAGATTAACAAATAATCAGATAACTTTTGTAGCAGCAAAAAGGTTAAGGGTGGAAACAGATTGAGTCCTTCTACCTCCTTTTTAGAAAGTTTTTTTTATATATAAAAGATATAAACGAACTTTCAGACCTGATGGTTACGTGGTACAGCTATATTTTGATAGTAGCGCGAATATGTTGGCCCGACCGGGGACGAACCACGCTCTCACAGACAAAATACCAACATACAATTAACTGCTAAATGCTGCTGTGTTTCGTATGGTGGGTGTAGACTCCGTCGACCCTTCTTACTGAAGAATGGCAAAAAGTTTAATGTTGGTAGAGAACCAATCGGACTTCTTCGTAGAAAGAAGTTTTTTTTAAGAAACTAAGCTGATAAATAGACTGATGTTAAATGGCTACTGCAATACATGAACACCTGGAACAACTTGTCAGAAATAGGTGAGAGTATGGTAACTATCCTGACACGACTCCTAGGCAGAAAGAAGTCCTATCATCTATATATAGACTACTTCATGGCGCAGTGGCTTAGCAATGAGTTACAGTGCTTAGGGCCGCGGGTTCGAATCCCACATGGAACAAGTATTTGTATGACCTACAAAATAATTATTCCGAGTCTGGATATTTGTAAACCGCCTCCACGATACAGAAGGAAACCCTTGTGAGAAGTTAACGTGCTTAAAAAATGATTTCAATGTTTTAAAAATAATCGCACAACATACAAAAGATATATTGTAGCAAACAGATTTTGTAGCAAAAGATTTCAGTAATATTTTAAAGTCATTCTTAGAACAAATTGCACCACATTTATCATAGCGAGGACCGTAGTCTCTGAAATTGCTGAAGACTAATTCTCTTCTGGCATATCTCATAGATGACTATATGATAGGCTAAACATAAGAAATGTAATAGGTGGTATGACCATCTCGTTTACCGTTACAGCCTATTAAAGTCCACTGCTGAACATTCTCCCATAGATTGCCTCGTACATTTGCCATAGTTGCCACGCTTCGCCACGGTTGGCAACCGAAGTTCTTTTATTTTTGAAACGAAGTTCCTTATCGAACGGTACAAATTTGGCGGATGGGGGCTTCTGACGTAGTGTAGACGAAAGTGAAGCGAAGCGAAATGGAATAATATCCATATCCCTCGCATTTTTTCTTATTTTGCCATGAAAGAAATATTATTTTATTTTAAATGACGCTTAATTTTAATAGACGCTAGTAATTCATTTATTTGTATTTGTCAATCAATAATATAATACGTTTATCAATAATAATAAACTACGAAAGGAACTTCGTTCCAAGCGAGTGTTACGCATGTTTTTTTTGTCGTTATTAGCAAGGCACTGCATCCCATCTCCAGATTTGTTTCCCTCTGTCACCTCTTATGACACCCATGACGATATGGAGTAGTGGATATTCTTACACCACCACTGCACGGTAATAACTTTTATTAGATGATGGTATTTAACTTCTGCAGCGAATAAATATGTGCAACTGTTTTTAAGTAAATATAAGTAGTGAAATCTAAGTGAAAAACGTACAGTCCACCTGGTGGTAAGTGGATGCTGTGACGCATAGACATCTATATGTATCCTTAATTAGGAATCATAGTGCAGATGCATTATTACCCTTGAAGACTAAGTGAAAATGATATCTGTTTCCTGTCACTCTTGTAGTATTCTTGTTGATTTCGAGGCATAGAGGCAAAAATTATTAAGAAAGACGTACGTAAAACAACTCCTAGGTAGGAAAGGACCTCTACCGAGATAACCAACAACTTATTGAGGTTCACTGCTCGATATAGGTATCCTAAGAATGTGCCATCGGGCATACAGTTAAAGGTTTGTTCACACTCAATACCTTGGAAAGTTAGGCTGGTGATCGCAGAGCACCCTCGCATTGGTGATGCATCTCTCTAATCTATATACAGTTTAGATATAGCACAAGATTGTTTTTAAACTGAAGTGACAAACGAACTTAGTCCCGACAAAATTTTACAATTATGTTCTTAGCATGATTGCAGTATACATATACTCTAAAATTATGTTACTTTTTTGCTAATTTGTCGTAATGTAACGTTTATTAGATAGGTCCCAGGTGGACTGTTACTTCGTTTGTATTCCAAATATTTTGTAAACGAGCAGCATCTTCTCATTTAGCTAATTCTCCCTGGCTCTGTTCCATGTACGATTTATTTTTTATTACCACGAAAGATAATTGTTACAACATTGTTAATGAAGAAGAATACGACAGGTGTATATTTTTTAATGTTCCATACTTAAGTACAAACACAAACTTCTACTTAATTTGTGTCATGGCCATTTTACTCAATGATTATAGATTACTGCCATTGATTTATTCGCCGGTCCTCGGACATTTTTGGTCATTTATATAAGATAAAATAGTGTATTTAAATATTTAAATTATAAACAAAAATTTACTCCAAGTTACTGCACCTATTACTATTTCTCAAGCTTTTTTATTCAAATCTATTTCTGTTTCAAAGCTTTTTTTTTTATAGGATAAGGGTGACAAACGAGCACACAGTCCACCTGATGGTAAGTGGTTGCTGCGGCCCATAGACATCTACATTTATCCTCTGTTACAAATCAAAATGTAGATGCGTTGTCACCCGTGAGGACTAAGATGGAATGTCTCATTTCCAGTAAAAAGGGCCTCCGGCCAACTGCACTCACCAAGCGAAACGCAGAGGTAAACCTCTACTTCACGCTGGTTTTCTGTGAGGTCGTGGTACTACCCCGGTTCGAGCCGGCCCATCCGTGCGACAGCAAAAGCTGCCGTGTGGCTCTACCACTGTTGCAATTCACTTATTTCACCATCGTACATCGCGACAAAACTCGAGATGTCATCGGGATGATTGGCGGTCCACTAGTATGCGATTTACGAGAAGTGTTCTTCCCCGCACAACTTCCTTGTGGAATCGACTACCACCAGCGATTTTTCCGGACCGATACGGCTTAAGGACCTTCAAGAAAAGACCCTACTCTTATTTATAGGCCGGCAACGCATCTACAACTCTCCTGGTGTTGCAGTTGTTCATAGGCGGCGGTAGTCACTTACCATCAGGTGGACAGCATGCTCGTTTGCCCTCTCTCCTATAAAAAAAATTACTTGGAACTCTAATATTTCCCATCATATTTCCCGTCCCTTATATATCACACCTATCCTCAACTGTTATTGTCTTGTGTATATACATGCTTTTTTACTTAATTGTCTAATTTATTAAGTTGTATTTTTTTAACTTAAGTTCTTGCGCAAAAGACCGATAAGACCGCTTATTGTGCCTTTTATATAATTTATTTAATTTTATTTTCATTTGAATGTGTGTATGTACTATAACGAATATACTGATTGATATTGATTATGGTTATCATTGAAAAAGGACCTTCTTTAAAGAATCTAAATACATGTTTCTTCTATATTTTTACTACCCATAATAACAAAAGAAATACCGTTCCCTCCTTTCTGTATCTTTTTAAATATATTAGAGTAATTATTAAACCTCTCTTAGTTCCTTTTTGGTATTTTTGGTGCTTATCTACGTTATCAATTTTTTGAAGTAAAACTTCTTTATAGACGTAATGGACAAATTTAGTAGTTAGAAAAACGACACCTTTTCTTGTAACATTTCACCGCCGGGGCTGCATGAGTATACTTTTATTTAACCTACTTATGTAAAATATAAAATAAAAGAAGAATGATAGGTTGTAAACTGTGTACACAATTACATGCACTATTTTTTTAATCACAATAATTTTTTAAACAAGACCTTTGTTTTGAGCGTTCAGTTAACTGTACTAGGAAGTTAAACCGATGACGTAGCTGCATATTTCTTTGTCTTGTACCGGCGATTGTCTGAACAGTTGAATCGCTTATGGCATTTTCAATTGTATTTAAGCCTTAAATGTCACTTAAATATGCTTTCGGTGTCCGGTAACACGTGGGTCCAAATGTCTATTGCACGTTATAGCACCTGAACGATAACCGAATGATTGAGTCACCTATTTACGGTTATTTGTAAGAAATACACGTAACAGGAGAAGGAACAGTTCAACAGTACGTTTAACAACGAACAAATTTATCAATATTTCTCAGCTATATAGAATCTAGTTACATGGTAATAGAATTCCATTTCCACCCATACGCTCTGGCACCACCCACTTACAAACAGCAATCTAAAATTCTACCGAAAAACAGCAGTACAACTACAAGCTGATGTGTTCCGGTTTGTTGTATGTGGCGGCGCTGTCGTCGCACTATAACAGAAACTTAAATCACGCTATCGAAATTTCCGAACGACTTTGTCTGTATAAACAACATGTGAAGTGTGTTATCAGTATTCAAACTTATAATAATAACTTTACTTAAAAAAATTCAACTCTAAAAGTAATAAATTAAATTAAAATAAATAATTTTTATTTGAAAATTGTATGTTGTATATTATTGCCTCTGCATTGGCTGGAAAGCAAGAGTATTGTCAAAGATTATTTACTGATACGCGTATCAGTTATAATAAAGCCCCAAACAATTTACAAATAAAATTCTATTTGAAATTAATTAAAAAAAAATTGAGACGATGGCAAGAGACCCGACGGTAAACCCTAGTGTGGGATGCTACTTGTGTAGACACTCTGGCGGCCTCTCATCTCAGGGGTACCTTGTTTAGAACCGGGGTGGCATCAGAGGCAGCTAAACTGAGTATGTGGCGCAAATATGAGTCTCTGAGAAATGACTACATATTTGTGTCATTTGCTGTAGAGACTATCGGTCTGTGGGGTCCACGTGCGGTGAAGTTCTTAAAGGAACTCCATCCGCGGCTGGTCGTT